TTAACCTCCACAACTTGTCTTGTCTGGAGGAATAAAGGAAGGGGGCTCAGAGTTACCATGGAAACTGAAAGGATGACTCACATAATCATACCTTAAGAAGAATATTGCAGAAGATCGACTTGTTGGAAAACCCCTCAGGCTTTAACCCAAAGTGGGCTGACTTCCATTAAAACGCACTTTGCAGCGGGCTTGTTCACACGGAAGCTTCTCAGGTGACCACTGAGGTTTTACACGCTCAGTGTAAGTGCTGTGAAATGTTTCAGTTACAGTGCATGCTGCTTCAAAGAGCTGACAAGCTGAACTTGTGCACAGCCTATTCCACTGACATGACCCGGAAAATGACGTTTTGCTTGTGACTTTGTTAAAAGAGAGAGAGAGAGAGAAATGAAGAAGTGGGAATTAAAGAGATTCAGAAAAAAACACGCACTCACCTTGACAGAGTTACGGCTTGTGATTTCCGGAAAATAAAGTTGGAGATGTTGGAAACAGTTGGTGAACAAATATTGATGTAAAGCTGAGAACACAGAGTGAAGCAACACTGAAGCAAACAGCCTATCTACTCCAGTCTGACATGCACACACATGCTCAGCCCCGCTCTGAGCAGCATCAGTTTCTCCACAGCTGTATGGAGGAGGGAAGTGCGTGACCGACCCAACTCAACTCCGATTTAAAACAGCGCGCAGCGTCACCTTGAAGGGGCGGTGCTTGTGTCATCGACAGCATCCACTCCGTGACGTCCTGAGGAGTCCCCAGATCCATAACCATGAAACTCAGGATTACCTTGCAAGTGACAGGTTTAACTTCTGAGTCCTTGAATTGTGTAATTGCAGATGTGTGTTAATCACACGTCACGAATTAGGCCGATTATTGTCTATATTCCCATTTTATTACAATGTGAGATGGTAAAAACCAATGTCGAAATCACCAAAATGACAAGATAAGCGTTATCAGAAACAAAAAAAGAAGTCAGAATGATAAATGACAGTTTCGTGCCTAAAATAGCAATATACTGCCACCTTCTGGACAAATGGCTGAATCGCTGCTTTTTACTCCTGTCCATGGCGTAAGAGAAATGAAGCCAAAGGAGCATCTTCTAATCTACACACACACACATACATAAAACTATAAAAAGATTAGCATTAGCCTAATGAGTTATTAAGCAGGTTTGATAATATATATTGTTCAGTTTTTTCAAAAATGAAGCTGTTTTTGAACAACAAAACAAAGAGAACAATCACTTTTTTCCTGGTTGCCCTAAACTAGTTGTTCATTATAAATATAACCTCACAGCTTGAGATTTATCCATTATCTATACCACAGGGGAGCTGGAGCCAAGAGAGGAGGGGTACACCCTGGCTAGCTCGCCAGTCTATCACAGGGCTGACATGAAGACAGACAACCACACTCACTCCTAGAATTTAGAGACACCAATCAACCTAAGCTGCATGTCTTTGGACTTTGGGAGGAAGCCGGAGCACCTGGAGAGAACTCACGCAGGCACAGGGAGAACATGCAAATTCCACATAGAAAGGCCCCAGGTCGGAGAAAGGCACCGGGGCGGCCGTGGCTCAACCTTCTTGCAGTGAAGCGACAACGCTAGTCACTACGCCACCATGCTGCCCCAACTTTATATTGTCTACAGTGTTCAGAAGTGAAATTGCACAGGTCCATTTTTCTGTGTGAGCCATTGTCAGCAATGGCTTCTTTCTTTGTGAAAGTGAATGGAAGACTGTTACATCACTCAAGGCTGCAGGCTTCTGCTGCTCAAGGACTTACTGTGCTGTCAGAAAAAGACCTTTCACATCAAGGCAGCCTGACTGCAACAGATTAGGTGTGAAAAGGCATTTTTTTCCTTTCACACAGTGAGATGAGAAGGTTATCGCAGCACCAAAAAACAGAGAGATGGATTCCATTGCACAGGCAGCACAATGATTCGTGGTGAACTTGTGATTTGCCACATTTGGGGAGGGAAGAAAAGCTTCATACAAATGTTCTTATCTGCAAAAGGTTACAGTACAGACCACTGTATTCATCTGTGCAGGATAATGAACTTACTGCTGCTGAATATTCCTTTTGTGTGAATTAGAAAGGCTTTGAAGTTACTTTTATTTCACCCTTACAATTAACTTATGGGAGCATTACATAAGACCGTTATTGTATAATACATCCACTAATGAAATGTGGGGAATCAAAGAGAAAATTAACACTGTTTGCAAGCAGCTCGAGTCTTTATTATACTTACAAAATATTGAGCGTGCACTCCGTTAGACAGTCTGGGAAGTTACATCTGAAAGTTAAATTTGAAAAAAAATGATGAAACACAGTCATAAGATCTGACATTAAGCTTTCAGTAGTCATTCACTTTAACAATTAGATACAGGTGCTGCTGATATTTAAATGATCATTGCTGCTATTTGCTTCTGTAGATGTTAAAGTTGATATCAAGAAGGTTATCCGTGGAGGTAATAGCAGTTGATCCCATGGAAGTTGTGTCGTTTCCCTGTGACTACATTGTCCCTCAGATTCACAGCAGCACGTGTGATGTTGCTGTTGAACTTGCGATGGGCCTCCGACTTGTTGAATGCATTTTGAAGATCCAGGAGGCTGAGAGCTGCACCTTCTGTAGCCACAGTCCCAGCTCTGTCCACTGGGTGAATACCAGCTAGGACAGGAGGCCTTGATAGGATGTAGGAGTTAGAGGTACTGGGTGTCATCCCTTTGCCCTCTGCCTGTTTCTCCAGCTTTGAAGCTGCCCTTGACAATAACCCAGTGGGTGAGTCAGGACCTGCCTGGTCTTTGGCTACAGCTGACTGAGTGGGGCTAGCTTTAAAATGCTGTTCTTTGCTTTGCTTAATCAAGCTTTCCTCTCTGTTGACATCTGTGGCTCCCTGAGACAACGGCCTTTTGTTAGGATACAGGAGCTGCTTTGTGTCTCTGATCAGAGCAGCATTAGCCTCTTGGCTGCCGTGTGTTTTCATGAATACTTGCAAGGGACTTTCATTAAACTGGACTTTGCAGTTTTCTTTCTCCCTGCCCTCAGTCAAAGACCTACTGTGCTCAGTTTGTTGTTTTTGTAAGACCTCCTGGGAAAGTGCTGCACTCTCTGCTTCTGATTGGCTTTTTGGATTCAAGTCTGGCGCCTCATTATGCTTAGCTGTGATCTTCTGTGGCCTCTGTTGGCATATAGTAGCTGATGCAGTGTCTTCGTTTGGAGCTAGAGATGGATTTAGGAGTTCAGCAGCAGTGGGACTGCAGATGGTCCTCCGCGCAAGGCTCCACTGTCTTCTTCTACATTCTTGTTTCGGTTTAGAAGGAATAAACACTGGATAGGACCTTTCCCTCTGTAGGGAAGAGAATTCATTAGGATTAGTGTTGCACACCAGAAATGTTAGCCTACTATTTGTAGCTATTTTACCAGTGGTGTCGTGTGTAAATTGATCCCAGCAAGGTCACTCATTTTTTCCTTGAAGTCATCTATCTGCAGAGGATTTGCTGGACCAGATCCTAAAAAATAACAGCTATTAATCCCTGATTATTGATTACTGACATAAAAAAATCACCCAAATTCTATTAAAAGATTTTAAATGACTTTGCACCATCATTGTTTCTAATAGCTAACTGTACTTTGTGTACTTGTATATACTTTTTATGCTTCTACAACCACCATATAACATGTTTATGGTTTTTTTTACCTGTGTAGTTCATTTGGTAGGAGGTGAGCCAGTGTGTCCTCTCCAGATTTATCAGCATGTTGCTTGTTTGCTCAGGTAATGACAAATCCCACTCACGAAGTTTAGGATTGGGCAGCACCATCTTTGGAGGAGTTGGGTAGAAAACTTGGCTCTCTCCCTTCAGTGGGTTTGTATGCTGGAGGAAGTTGTTGTAAGGCATTTTATGTACCAGCTAATTTTAAAGCCAATGTGAAGTCATACATTTTATCACTCACCTTCAAAAAGCCGTGCTCTCCTGGCCACATAACAGCCTTCTTCCTGGTTTTCATGGGTGTCTCCAAAATCTCATGTCTGTATGGTCCACCTGTGCATGGAGAATCATGGAGAGACATTTCTGGAATTATCTATTCCACTACAGCCTTTTACAAGAATGTGTTACCCTCTTACCAATAGTTTTACTCAGCAGAGTGACATTTGATGCACTATTTGGAATATGAAGGTTGAGGAAAGATTGCGAGGCAGCTCTGACTCCTGTATCAGGGTCATCTGGAGAGCGGAAGGATGGAAACATTGCAAACTGAGAGATGTGGGATGAATAAGGATGCTCCTTCAGAGTTGGAATCTTTGTCATTTTCTCCCTGTTTTAAATACAAAGAAATGAAATGCAGATGGAGCATATGTACTGAAGTTTGAGGCAGAAACAAGAGGTGAGCTTTGTGCCAAAGAAATCAGTTTCTGTTCATGCTTATACAGAACAAAATTCAAACTGAAGTACTCACACTATGTTTATATCAGTTGGCTTTGGTACACTGAGAAAAAAAACCAAAGTGTTTATGTATCCCCACCAATGAATGAATCTAGGATTTCATTGTTCATAGTTTAATCTGGACTATTTTGATGACAAATCAGTGGCTATACTCACAGTTGGTCATTGAGACGGTCTTTACTTTTTCTACCAATGCTGTTATATCGTAGTTGACTGGTGATATGCCTGTTGAGGTAAAACAGCATCTTATAATTTGGTTTGTTACATTTTAAATTATGCAGATATGTATATTTGACTATTCTATTCAGAATGTTTCTGCACTGACTCGGGAATGATGGCTCCTCTATAACCACGATTTAGTGATTTCAACTCCATCTGGCTGCGAGATCTCTGACTCAGTTGAAGACAGGACAAAAAGCTGTAGATGGAATAGAAAATGAGAAAAAATACAACAAATTAAGTCAAATCGGTGGTGCAACCTTGTCTGCTCATCAGTGTAGTTGTTTTGTCAGAATCAGAATCAGCTTTATTGGCCAGGTGTGATGAACACACGAGGAATTTGACTCTGGTACATCGGCTCTCAATGTGTACAATGTTCTTCTGTAAGGCTACAACTGTTATCTTTTAGTCCCCCTCACCAGGAGGGTGAGGGAGAACTGGGGTTGGACTCAAGATGGCTGACCCAGGTGCTAGTACAAAAAAGGTGGTTTAATGGAATAAAAACAACATGACAACAAAACAGGGTCCATAATACATACAAGGGAAGGGCAGTGATGACTACGGAGACCAGGACGGTAAACACACAAACTAACGACAGGAACTAGGATAGCAGAGGATGAGAACGGACAGGTGAACAAAAAGAACCAACGTAAACAATGTAATCCACAGCACAGAGACTGTCAGCGTGGCATCTTACACACGTGTAAAAATGCGGGTCAAACATAAACTTTTAACTTACATAGGGTAAGTATTGTCCATTACATATCGCAATGCTCCGGCAACGACGGAGCGTCTGCCAGAGGTATAAATAAGGAAGCCAACAAATCACCGGAATACGCCTCAGGTGTGCGCACCGACCCACGAGTCACTAATTACCCGATGCGACACAGCTGAGGCGTTGATCCCGCAAAAAGGGAGAACAGGAGAGGGAAAAAGAAAGAGAGGCAGGTCGCGGCGAGCGGACCTGACAACAAGTAGACAAGTAAACAAGACAAGACTGAGATAATAAAAAATGCAAAAGGAATGTGCATTAGGAAAATAAAAAACAAACAACTTATAAATATAGAAATGTATACACAGTTTAGATACAGTTTTTCAGAGAGATATATGCAAACTACATTTACAAGGTATTGCACTGAGGGTTGCCGTTCTGTTTCACAGTCATGTGTTAAGTGTTCATCA